CGGGGATGAAGTCCTGCCTCAGGTGGAGGAGTTCAAATATCTGGGGGTCTTGTTCACGAGTGAGGGTAGAATCGAGCGTGAGATTAACAGGCGGATCGGTGCTGCGGCCGCAGTAATGCGGTCGCTGTATCGGTCCGTTGTGGTGAAGAAGGAGCTGAGCCGAAAAGCGAAGCTCTCAATTTACCGGTCAATCTACGTTCCTACCCTCACCTATGGTCATGAGTTGTGGGTCATGACCGAAAGAACGAGATCAAGGATTCAAGCGGCTGAAATGAGCTTTCTCCGCAGGGTGGCAGAGCGCTCCCTTAGAGATAGGGTGAGGAGCTCTGTCACACGAGAGGAGCTCGAGCTCGAGAGGAGTCAGCTGAGGTGGCTTGGGCATTTACATCGCATGCCCCCTGGACGCCTCCCTTGGGAGGTGCTCGGGTGCCGTCCCTCTGGGAAGAGACCTAGGGGAAGACCTAGGACACGCTGGAGCGACTACGTCGCTCGGCTGGCCTGGGAACGCCTTGGGGTCCCCCCAGAAGAGCTGGAGGAAGTATCGAGGGAGAGGGAAGTCTGGGTGTCCCTGCTCAGACTGTTGCCCCCGCGACCCGGCCCCGGATAAGCGGTTGAAGATTGATGGATGGATGGATGGATGGATGGCTTTGGACTCCAGCTTGTCATACTTAGAATGATGTCAGAGTCACTGGTAGTCAGTGTCAGGGGGGGGGAACCCCAAGCTTGACTCCTAGTTGATTTCTTCCTCCCAGGGTTGAGTTTTGTTTTCTCCTATTTTTCTTTTATCTGTTAGCTGATTTTTGAGATCACCACAATTTGTATATGTTTACATACGGCTGCTTGTTTACAAGACAAAATATGGGATCTGTTTATGAGAGCAGTTTAGATTTTGCCAAGGGGTCAACAGTAGGCACATGAATACGTATAGAAAACAAACATTGGGTTTAAGTCCTGTCAGACGTCCTGTTAAATATTCCTCTTGTGATCTGACATGTACACATGAATACTGTGAACAGGTTACAGAAGCCTACGACAATAATCCTCTTTGATTTAGCAAACAAATAAATGTACACACAGCTGGGAAAAATGTGCAGCACATGTACAATGTGCCCATATATGACATAAATGTACATGTTTCTGGGCTGATCAAACGCGGATCCACATGCATGCACAATGTGCAGATTAAGGCTATCCCTTGCTCCGGGGGCTTAGTTGGCATCTCTGCCTAAGCTCAACATTTTTCGCCACCCTCTGTTCTCCTCATCTCCTTTTATCAACATGACCACAACCCTAAGAGCAGTGACCACTTTGTAGCCCAGGCCGTATGATAAATAACCAGTACATGATCCAAAGCGGGGAATCCTCTTGTCCTTAGTCACTCTAAATCTGGGTGTATCAAAGTCTGTGAATTTATGGATTTTAAACATTGCTTTACCAGGGAATGTATTTGACTACCTTTATGGTTTTCCTGTATGTGGACAACCTGCAGTGTGATCCCTGCGGTACTGTATGGCATGAGATTATTGTGTTATATGTTTTTTTTAGCTGTGAATTTGACTCCATTTAAGTGGGAAGGCCAATTAAAAATTGTAATTGGTCCCATCAGTGGTCTTTAGGCATCTGTGCGTGTTACTGACACAATGATGCTGCAGCACAGTGTGCCATATGTCATGTATGCATGTAGTGTTCACACAATGTTTTCCTCGCACAAGTTGGCTTTCAGGAATAACTGCTGTGAAGAGTTTCGGAATGGTGTCAGCAACAGATACAAGGGATCAAAGACAAGCCACTGACTGCGCAGATGGTGTGTTGGGGGAAAAAGCTGCAGGCTTCAACTGTGACAGTTGGAGACGAGCGCGGGATTTATTATTCTGGAGAATATAATTTATGCAGAGACACAATCTGAAAAGCATTCAGACAGAACAGGTGGAAGAGTGAGCATTAGATTAATGCAGACCAGGCAGGACGTGGCTTGGATTCTAACGACATCATCATCTTGCGACAAATACCATTGGACAAAAAAGATCAGCCCTCCGACCCCCCCATAGTTATTTTCAATTATTTGTTCTATCAGTTTTTTTTTTTTGTCATTGTCGCTCCATCACATCATTCCAATGACTTTACCATGGAGGGCAAATGCGGCTAGACTACAATGGACATCAGACTAGTGGCAGGTCCTGGCAGGTTGACAGTCCTAATGGGAATTTTAAGCCATGTTGTCCGCTAGCAGCATGGAGCCAGAGGAAACCCAAATACAGGGCAGCTTCTTCAACAAGGTGGACGTACCTGACCACGTTCACTACACCGTCGTGGTGTTTGTCTTTGTCATTGGGACGCTGGGCATCATGGTCAACGCTCTGGTTATTTTTGCCTTCTATAGGTGGGTTTGCGTGTACATTGTGCAAGTGTGTGTTGATCTTGTCTTGATTGTCTCTTGTTTTAACTGGAGATTTTCAACAATGCAAGCTAAAAAGAAGTTTTTTTGTTTTTCCTTCGATTTAGAAGGAGATAGAAAGCTTGACAGACATGCAATAATTAGATGTTTTGTGTGTGTATTTTTGGGACAGATAATGCAATTTCTCTGGCAGGTGCATACAATTTTCTTTGTGAAGAGGTGCTGCCTAAGGTTTTAATGTGATTAGCTCTAGCCTCACCCCCCGTGGTTTGGAGGCGACGGTGGCCACACCTCCGGTGGTTCGGAGGGTGCTTGGGGACGTTGCACCCTTGGAGGTTTCTGTTTCAGTGACTGACGCTCCCTCAGCAGTTCTTGGTCCGGCTGGGGGAGACTTTGTGACTATTGGTATGCCTTGGTCTAGGGAAGGGACTCCTTACCAGAGACACAAGTTCCCTAGACCAAGGTACAAAAAAGGGCCAGGCCAAGTATAAGGGTACTTGGGCCTGGAATTTTTTTTTCCTCTTCTTCCGTTTTTCCACTTCTGCCTTTTTCTTTTTTTTTTTTTTTTTTGATGTTTTTGGATAGGCCTTGTTTCAGTTTATCTGTTTTGGTATCCCTCCCACCCAACCCTGAGGGTTGGTGGTAGGCTTACTGTCATGTCTGTCTGTTTCCTTTTCCTGTTGTCTTTGTGGGGTTATCTGTGGGATCACACTCACCTGTTGGTAATTAGCTTCACTTGTGTCACCTGGTGCTCCCTGTGTATATATATCCCTCTCCCTCACTCTGTCGTGGTTGGATCATTGTGATTGTGGTGGTGTGTGTTTGATCATTGTTACTGTGTTAGATCTTCGTGTTCGTGAGTTTCCTACTCTGTGTTTCCTCGTGTTCCGTGTTTTCCTGGTCTTGTGAAGAAGTGAGTTTTTTTGTTGTTTTGGCCTTGCACTCCAGCGTGTCCTAGGTCTTCCCCTAGGCTCTACTTCGAGCTCCTCTCATGTGACAGAGCTCCTCACCCTATCTCTAAGGGAGCGCTCTGCCACCCTGCGGAGAAAGCTCATTTCAGCCGCTTGAATCCTTGATCTCGTTCTTTCGGTCATGACCCAATAAAACTACCTGCACCAGAAAGAGTCTCACCAGTACTGCATTTGGGTCCTGCCTGCTTCCTGCAATGATTCCTGCTATGCCCACACGTGACAGGCGCTCACAGGTAGAAAAAAAAAGAAGCATTCTCAAGAAGCAGTCACTGTTATTATGTAGCAACGAGACACGGACTTTAATCAATAGAGAAACCTGAGAGATGGACACCAGGTCAATATGCTTCTGAGTGTAGCTGTAGTCTGGGCCAAGGTTCATATAGAGATGTTCAACAATGTTCTCATAAGTGAGTGATTGTGACAACTTAACTGAAACATATTGAAGGCTTTTAATTGAAATTGCTGCTAATGGGAAGGGACAATTGTTTAAACAGAGTAGTGACTGGTAGCTGTAAACGCTCCACTAAACGCATCTCTACGTTACATCTCTACGTAATGCACCTTCGATCTGATGTTGCTGCTGCTTTCTTCTCACACATCACATTAGGACTCACATAAAGTATGGTTGTGTTTTTTCCTGCACTAGGCTCCTACATCCCAGAAGTCCTGATGACATCCTGTACATGGGAATATGTCACATACACTTGGTCCAACAGGAGCTACACCATGATGCTTTGCTGTTTTGTTTTCTTCATTCCAATGGGAATTATCTTGTTCTGCTACATCCTAATGTTTCTAGCTGTAAAGAAGACTGGAAGGTTGGTAGCTTTTTACACCAGCCTGAATTTTAGAAATGTGAGGTGTAGCTTAGCTTTTTCACCACTTCCCTTCTTCTTGTTGCCCCATCCACAGGAAGGTGGGACGTCTGGGTATGCAGCCTCATCCAGCAGAAATCCATCAATAGTGAGAGGAAACTGGCAAAGATTGCCTTCCTTGCCATTGTGGTTTATGTTCTCTCCTGGTCGCCGTACGCTTGCGTTACACTGATTTCCTGGGCTGGGTAAGACTGACTAAAAACATATTTTTATTTGTTGCATCAATTGGGTTTTCACTTATAGGTGATCATTGACTTTTCCGGAGAAACTTGACTTTATGTTTGTTTTTATGAGGTGCTCTACACATTTACAGATCATGTGTCTGTTGCTGTGAGACTTGGTGATGACTGTATGGAAATTTGTATCTGTAAAAGACTTTATCTTTTTTTTACATTGACTGATCATTCCTACTACTTGTCCCTTGGATTAAATTAATTAAACATATAATTATTGAAGACTATTTATTTATTTACTTTCATATATAGTATATTGAATGGGTGAGTAACACAATGGGTGTGTAACTATTTGTGATTCTAATGATCTACGATTCTTAATCGATTCTTAAACTTAAAAAATCGATTATGTATTAACATTTGCTTCGTCTCTCTGCGCACCCAAGGATCAGGCAGAGCATAGAAAGCTATTCTTGACATACTGCTGGCTCTAGCTTGGCGTTGACTTTCAATTGCCTGTTGACGCCAGCTTAACATCACCTGTCAGTTCAGGTACGACCCCTTGAGGTGAGGCAGAGTACAGTTTGCCTCCCCTGCTGACTTTTCTCGGCACTTTATTGGCTGGAACAGAAACAGGCCTGCGTCATGTGATCCAGTTTGTTTGGATCACGCAGTCAGACGTGAGGCACAGCTCACCACTGCCTTACCCGGGACCCCTTGAGGTGAGGCAGAGCACTGTTTGCCTCCCCTGTTGACTTTTCTCTACACTTTATTGGGTGAAGGACAAAAACTAGCAAGCGTCATGTGACCCAGTTTGTATTGGATTGCGCAGTCAGATGTGATGCACAGCTCGCCGCTGCCTCATCCGGGATTTCTGCCCCGTATTTGAATGTGAACTAATCAAATTCGGTGATTTTTACTTAATAAATGTCAAATGTGTAGAGTCATACTGAAAATCAATATTTAACACAGATCAGTGGAAAGTATCAATATTTATATTATGTACTATTTTCTTTTTTATCATGATGGCAGGCTGCCTCCCCTGACCGCACGTCACTCCTCCACATCCACACTGTCAGTGATCACTCAATTGCATGCACAGCCGCTCTACGACACAGACACAAGCTTCGCTGTGGACACACCAATTGTCCGAGAAATCAAACATGTAGCTCAGCTTCTTTTTCTGCAAAAGAACCAATATATTCCTGTACAGTAACCCCATATGGACAATTATGACCTGTAATCCTACTCACCGAGTCCAAGACGTGACTACCCTTGTAATGTGATTTATATATTACATAAAATAACAATGTTATTTTTGAATAAGAAAAAACCATGTTCATTATTGCTTATTTTGAAATGAGTGGGAGAAAAAGGTAACTAGCCTAAGCTTTTATTTAGGAAGGTAAGCTTAATTTTTTTGTATATCTTGAACCTACTCTTGTATTCACTGAGAATTGAGACTTAAAAAAAAAAAAAATCTATTTTGACAAATCACTCAAAGCATTTAGCATTATTTTGTGTTTTATTTTTGTATCTTTCTGGGAGAAAAGGGCAATTTTTATTTTATGCAATTTTAATTATGTAACAGTACATAACATTACATACTTATACAAACTGTACAAGATAATGTAATCTGCTTCATTGGCACACTATGCACTATATTGGTTTTTGAATTGTAATCATTTGAATCTGAAATCATTTGAATCGGGAATCAATTTTGAATCAAATCGTGACTCTAAGAATCGGAATTGAATCGTGAGACACCCAAAGATTCAAATCCCACTATGTCTAAATAACAGCAAGTATAAAATCTTTTAATGACCCAGAAATAATAATACTTGACAAAGATACATAACATAGATAGATAGATAGATATCTGACCATCAGCCAAGGCCTTGGTGCAGCTGCTGAAGAGGTGTTGCAAGGATCCTCTTCCTGCACACAGGGGGCAGCCCAGGTGTGTAGGTTTGCTGGGCTTGGTAGGGTGGAGGAGATGTTGACGCTCCTTTTCTTTTGCCTGATCACCCTTTTGCCACTGTCCCAACAAGGGCCTTTTGTCTCGCAGTGCCTCTGCCACCTGTAACTCTCTGGCAGCGCTACACTTCCTGGCTGTGCGAACCTCGATGCCAACTGCTGCCACCTTGTGGTCCCTTGAGTCTCTGTACTGTATGGCCTTCCTTGTCTGTGTCACCACGAACTCTTCACATAGGCCACTAAATGGGAGTTGGAGGGTGTTGGTGGACCTGTACAGGGCAGCACTGTTCAGGCTCCTTGGCAAGCCAAGCCACCTTCCCAGATAACTGCTCATTTTCTTCTCCAAAGCTTCCACAGTTGACATCGGGACATTGTACAGAAGTAGGGGCCATAAAACCCTGGGAAGAATGGCATGCTGGTAGATCCATGCTTGAAGCGATCGGGCAGTCTAGATTTGTCAACCTTGGTGAGCCAAACACCTAGATCACCACAGGTCCTCTGGATTGCAGCTGTGTTCTTCAAGAGTTTCCCCAAAAAACAGTGAGTCTGGCAACGACATGAGGTTGCTTGGCAACCGGAGTACACAGTACAAACTACACAGCTTGTAGGCCATGAGTAATTACTTGAAGTATGTCTATATACATATGTATATAAGTAGTGCAGAACAGAAATTGTGCTAAATATAAACTATAAGGTAAATGTATATATACAAACAGTATTGAAGTGACAAATGTAACAGGATGGGATAAATATAAACAGTATGAAGTGATAAATGTAAACAGAAATAAATAAGTAATAGTGCTGGAGCTGTGGTGCTTTGGCCCAGAGGCAATGTCATTGTTGTGGAAGCCCAGGGTTCACCTCCTGGGCAAGCTCAATGCTGGTTAGGGCGGTTGGTACCTTCCAGTGGACTCACCACCCGCAGGAAAGTTCAGGGGGGTTGGTACGGTGCAGTGTGATTTGGGTGCCGGTCATAGAGACTGCTGCCCCCACGACCCGGTCACAGATAAGAGGATGAAAATGGATGGTTGAATGGATAGTGCTGGAGCTAATTCACAGAAATTGAACAGGAAATATATTGCACTGTGATATTGCACAGTGATATTGCACTTAATTGCTCAGTAATCTTACACAATGGTATTGCACCTGCTTTTTATTAAAAGGCATTTAACAGCCTGATGGCCAGGGGAAAGAAACTGTTTCTGAATCTTATTGTTCTGCAGCGACTGCTGCAGAACCTCCTGCATGACACCAGCAGCGAGAACAGTCCATTGTGGGGGTGGGTGGGGTCAGAGGGAACCTGGTGCGCACTGGCTGAACAGTGTCTGTGTGCTACATTCTGGATAGGGGGAAGTGGAGTCCCAATGATCTTCTCCACTGTCCTCACCACTCTCTGTAGAGACTTCCAGTCTGAGGCCTTGCAGCTCCTGTACCAGACGGAAATGCAGCTGGTCAGCAGGCTCTCGATGGTCCCTCTGTAGAAGGTGGAGAGGATGGGAGGGGAAAGGGAGGCCCTTCTCATTCATTGCAGGAAGTGCAGGCGCTGCTGGGCATTCTTCACCAGGGAGGTGGTGTGTAGTGACCAGCTGAGGTCTTCTGTTTAAATGTCAAGAGTTTAGGAGAAGTGGTGGTAGATTTCCTGACTGGGTTGTTCAACAGAATTTTAGAGACTGACAAGATGCCTGATTAGTGGAGGAAAAGTGTTCTGGTGCCAATTTATAAGAAGGGTGATGTGCAGAGTTGTAACAACTACACAGGGATAAAGGATAAAGGGATAAAGCCATACAATGAAGATTTGGTAAGGAGTAGTTTAAGCTTGGTTGAGGCAGGAAGTGAAGATTTGTGAACAACAGTATGGTTTCATGCCTAGGAAGAGTACCACAGATGCAATATTTGCTTGAGGATGCTGATGGAGAAGTACGGAGAAGGTCGGAAGGAGCTACATTGTGTATTTGTAGATTTAGCAGAGGCATACGACAGAGGGTCAAGGGAGGAATTTTGGTTTTGTATGAGGATGTCAGGAGTGGCAGAGAAGTATGTTATGTATATATGTATGTTAGCAGGACATGTATGAGAATAGTACAACAGT